ATAGTAATTTTTTTTGGGAAAAAACATTAGAGACAAATCAAGGAACATATAAACCTGACTCACATAACTTTAGATGTGAATGGATTAAACAATCCTATAAAACAAACAAAGAGTGACAGATTGGATCAGAAATCAAAACCCCACTTTCTGTTGCTTACAAGAAATTTGTTTGAAAAACAAAGTCATGTAAAATTAAAATGAGGGCCTAGGGCAAAAAATACCATTCATTAGAACCCAAGAAAGCAAAAGCTACAATTATGTTATCAGAGAAGGTAAAAATAAGCATTTACAACATGGAAGAAAAAAAGAGAGGAGGAAACCATATTATGCTGAAAGGAACTACAGAAAACCAACAAATAATAATATCAAACTTACATGTTCCAAATGCCTTAGCATCTAAATTCATAAAGGAACAAAATAATTGAACTACAAGAAGAAATCAATAGCAATAAAATAGTAGCAGGTGATTTCAATGGCCCTCTCTCCACTTTGGATGTCTAATAAAAAAGATAAACAAAAGTGAAAACATAGAACTGAACAAAGTGTTGAAGAAATTAGAGCTAAAATACTAATGTCATCTTCTAAATGGGACTTTTATGAATATCCATATTTCTCAGCACCACATAGAACTTTTACAAAAATTGACCATCCATTGAGGCACAAAGATTTCACAGACAAATGTAAAAACCCAATAAAGCATAAATAAATCTCTTTATAGACCATAACCAAATAAAAATGGTAATCAGTTTAGGGAACACAGACAAAAGACATGTACCTAATGAAATTCTAAATAATGAATGGGTCAAATAATAAATTATAACACAATTCATAATTATGTAAACGAAAAAGATAATGATTAAACAACATATCAAAATTTCTAGGATGCAGCTAAGTTAATCCTCAAATGGGAAAAATCGCCTCCCTACAAACATATATTAACAAATTAGAAAAGGAGGGGCAGAGATAATGAACTGAATATGTATTTTCAAAAATTAGAATGTCTACAAATAAGCATAAAATTAACACAAAAAAAGGAGCTGTTGAAAATTAGAGGAGAAATGGACAAAGTAGAAACTCAAAAGACTACATAAATGATAAATAAAACAAATCTAATTCTTTAAAAAGACAAATAAAATCGATAAATTCTTTAGCCATTCTGATTAAACAGAAGAGGATGGAAACTCTAGTAAAGAAAATAGCAAATGAACAAGATGAAATTACAACAAATCAAGTTAAATAAAAAGAAGAATCAGAACCTATCATACACAGTTACAGGTTACCAAGACTGAAAACACAGAAAAAATAGAGGAATACCTTTCCAGACTCTGTCCTTACCATATGCTATGGTCTAACCAAACTGACTTTATTGTTTCTCATACATTATACTCAACCTCTCAACCTCACGCCTTTTCACTGACCATTGCCCACAAGTGGATTTTTCTTCCTCCCCATTTTTGTATCATACTCTCTTATAGTTTCATCAATTATAAGTTCATGTATTGTAATTCCTTTTGAAACTTCTCCTGATCTATCAACTGCTAGTACCCTCCCTTACCAAATTACATTGTACAGAAGGTTCTTACTTTACATAAATCTGCATTATGTAAATTCAACCTTAGGTAAAGAATTCTGAAATTCTGAGGTGGAGGAGTTGATTGAGTCTCATGGAGAATAACTATCGAATGAGGATCTAATTGATCTGCTAGCAGCAAAGATTGTAGAAGTAGAAAAGGAAGCTTCGGGACCAGAGGTAGAACCAAAAAGGTTCACAGTGAAACAGGTGGCAGAAGCATTTTGATGATTTTGTTGATTTTTTTTTCTTCTATTGAAAAGATGGATCCAAATACTTCAAGGTTTTTAAAAGTTCAAAGACTAGTTGAGGACAATATTGCTTGCAATCATGGGCTTTATAAGAAAAAAAAAAGAAAGGTGTTGTCCAAATAGTTTATGATAGTGTCACAAAAAAAGCTGACCAGCCAACCACCAGTGATAAAGGCTAGGTGCAGTGGGTAGGGAAGGGGCAACATAATGTATACCTATGTTAATTTTACTGTATAGCGTTGCACACCATACACTTTATCACTAACTTTACCTTTCATTTCATAGTTCCATTTATTATCATGGTATAGTATTTAATATGTCTTGCATTTAGTATATTTTATGATGCATGAAGTTATTATTTTGTGTAAGCCTTTATTATATATGCTAAGTGAAATGGGTGAATGGGGGCAAATTCACAGTATATAAAAATCACTTTATAGGGGGCAGCTAGGTAGTGCAGTGGATAAAGCTTGGCCTTGTAGTCAGGAGGACTTGAGTTCAAATCTAGCCTCAGACACTTGACACTTACTAGCTGTGTGACCCTGGGCAAGTCACTTAACCCCAATTGCCTCACCAAAAAGCAAAAGAAAAAAAATGGCTTTATGTAGAAGTCTATAGAATGGCCTATCATGTATAGCATAATTTCTTTTATGGTTATGCTGTGCATATTTATATATATGCATATTGTCTCACCTCAGACTTCTTGAAGACAGGGGTTCTTTCATATTTTGCCTTTATATTCCCAACATCTAACACAGTTCCTAACATTTATGCTTGATAATTACCTGCTGACTAATAAGTTATTTGATCTTTCAAAGTCACAAATGAATGATTATTCTTAACAAAACTGTTAATACAACCCTTATTCACTAATTAGCTGGTAGCTTTTCTGTCATCAAATGGTAATCTATGAAAACGTAGTAGCTTAATTTCAATAAAAACCAGGATTCACATTTAGAGCAAACCTATTGCTAGGTGTGAAGAACCATATCTATAGCCAACAATAAGGTTATTGACAGCCTGATGCCACAGAAAGGGTATGAGATTCAGAATTAGAAAACCTAGCTTTGAGTCCTGGACCCAATATTTAATTTTTTTTTTTGGTGAGTCACTAAATTTCACTGACCCTCAATTTCCTTATCTTGTATTATGGTAATATAATGTTCATACTACCTACCTCACAAGTTTTTTGTGAGAGAAGTATTTACAAACCTTAAAACCTATATAAATCTAAGTGGTTATAATTATGAAAAGTTTAATTCCCTATTGTGTGCCAAGTGCTATAGAAAAAAATGTTAGTGAAAGGCAGGGTCCTTGTCATGACAGTATAAATTATATACATGTTTCAAAAAGATTTTGTTTGGAGGACAATGACAACAATACAAAGAAAGTGTGGGAAAAAATTCTCTTTACTATAATGGCATTATTATGCAGTAGCAGAAAAAAATAAAAAAAAAAGAAAAGAAACAGATTCAATAGTGAGGATATTAGATGCAAAGTCAGAAAAACCTGAGTTCAAATTCTGTCATTGACAGTTGATGAATAACCTTGGATAAGTCATTTTGCCTGAGATTCCTCATCTGTGAAATTGGAATAATAACACCTAGAGGACTTGATTCATTTGCAAGGTTGTTTGCACTTTAAAGCTTACAAAGTGTTTCATATGATCTTATTTGATCCAGTGATACCATTAGTATTTATCAACGGGATGACTGTGAGGTTCAAATGAGATAATCCTTGTACATGTTAGTTATGATTGCTCTGGCTATTATGACTCTCAGATACATGCTCTATCTGTTATGTCATGCTGCCTGCCACAAAAGTAATGATGATGATTGATGATGATGATGATGACGATAGCTAATATGTATAGAGCGTCAGCTACGTGCCAGGCACTGTGCTAAGTAAGTTCTTTACAATTATTATCTCAGTTGACTCTCAGAACACTGGGTGGAAGATATTATTATTTTCTCCATTCAACAAATAAGAAAACTGAGGCATAAAGTGGTTGAGTGACTTGTCCCAGATAAGTTTCTGAGACTAGATTCTTCCTGACTCCTGGCTCCGCGCTCTGTCCAGTAACCCTCATAAAGTTAAGTAGAAACAACCCAATCTATTTCAGCCAAATAGACAGTCTCCTAGAGGCATGAGGTAGTGCTGTCTCTTGAGGGGTCAATCTGGAGCTCCATGATCCAGCCTTTCTCCTGCTTCTTAACCTTCAGGGTGTACCAGCTTTTCTCGTTGCTATTAGGCTCTGTTTATAAAATTGAAATAACGGCTGCTTCGTGTTACTCAGCCATGTTTGAGAGATCACTATAACAATTTCTTTAAAGAACCTTTGTAACACATTCTCTTCTTAAAAGAAAGAAATTAGCATTCAGCACCAGAATTAATTCCATCTGGTTATCAAGGAGTTTTCCAATCCTTTTCAAAAGAGTTTAGAAAGCATTGATAAATTAAAGCACTAAATGGTTCAGAGTTGTCATCATTTTTGGTTTAGACTTGTAATGTCATTGAGAAAGGGAAATCCCCAGTGTGAAGACATGTTGTGCCAATGCAAAGCAGCATTCACCTGTAAGTTATAGTGTTAGGGCGCTATCTGGGGCAAGGAGAGGTCATATGATTTACCCCATGGTCACATAACCAGATTGTGTCAGGAGTAGTACTTGAACTTCAGTCTTTCTGACTTTAAGAATGGTTCTTAATACATTATATGATCGGATCTTTCCAAAGTATTGTTATTTTTAAAAAAAATAAGTCTGTTCAACTAAAAAAACTACAACCAGCCAGTCCCAAAACTAGTCACTTAAAGGATCTTTTATCAGCCTTTTGGAGCCAAAGGGCCATGAGATATATAAATAGACATGCATAAATATACACACACACACACACATATATACATATAATGTGTTTTTACATATATTGTATGTGTACTATATGCATACAAATGCACATATATGCGTGAATATGTATATACTTGTGTGTATACAGTTTCTACTTTTCTGTCCACATTTTCATCTTCATCATTATTAGTATTGTTACTATCATCATTGTATTTAAAATTCCTTTTTTCCTGGCCTTGGGGCTAGGGTCCAAGCTCAACTGCGAGGCTTAATTGAAAGCGGTGAAGGAATAAAGACTTTTTCCTTTGTTTAATGGACAAAAGCATGTGTTGTTACCTTGAATGCAGAGCCCGTCTGTGCAGTTCTCCGATTCTTGACTGAGGCCTTCGCAGAATTTCCCCCCATTTCTTGGAGGTGGTGCTGTACACTCCCGTATTCTCAGGTGCTCACACTCTGGGCTACACACTGACCATTCGCTCCATACCTCCCAGCTTCCATCAACTAGAAGGAAAAGCCAAAATAGATAAATAAATAAATAAATGTACGCACATACATATGTGTATATGTGTGTAACATATGTATTCATGTGTACATCTACTCATTACATGTACGTATACACATATATACACATACATATATACACACATCACAAGGACACAAGAATAATAAGAGCAGCTTAGAAATAACTTTCACTTCTCACTTTGGTTCCTCTCCAGAATCACAGGATGGGGAGTTCAGCTTTCTCATTTCTTCAAGGGCAAAGACAATTACCAAATGTAGGCAGGCCTAAAAACTGCAGGTGTTCTTGAGTGTGCTAATGATGCCACTATCTTTCTTTTTTTTGGCCTCAGCTATTCATGCCCAAGTATACTTTGCTGATAGATCACCCACGGGCAAAGACCGCTGGAAGGAAGGCAGTCATTTCTTCAAGTTTGGTGGCTTAGAGAGCTAGATGGGACCTTCTAGGCAGAAGTGAAAAATAAATAAAATAATTTCAACAAAATAAAACCCTAACTTTGATCTAAAAATTGGATTCAACAACCACAACAAGTAGGGGCACATCAATGTTTGACGAATTTTACAATCCTTCCTGCATATACTGACAATGCCATCTGTCTACTTTAATGCCGTCTTGCTCAGGAGGAGGACCACTGGATCAGTTGTTTCAAGATCTGGGTTTGAATCCCGACTAGGCCACACAGCATGATGATCACTTGAGTTCAGCTGTGGAAACATGAGCAAGTTATTTTATCTTTCTGGGCCTCAGTTTCCTCATGGGTAAAATGAGAGCATTGGACTCAGCGATCTCAGGGGTTCCTAAATACACACTAGGTATTTTGCTTGTTGATTGAATGGTTGATTCTTTCCTGTCTAATGCCCATTGTATAACACTGACAGGCTTAGCTCCCCACTCTTTGTCTGACCTTAGAGGAGTTACAATCTTTCTCTGGGCCTCAGTTTCCTCATTTGTAAATGAAAAGGAGGACTAGATAATCCCTAAGGTCCCTTGTAGTTCAAAATCTATGACTTCTATGCCACTACCTTGTTCAAAAACCACCAATTGTTCTTCATTTGCCTACTGCCCTCCCTAACCTTATGTTTACTGACCTAGCCAGCCATATTTTATATTATGGTTTTCTTCTTTATACATTTTGTACTCCAGCCAAGTGGGACCAGTCCCTGTACTTATCATGCCTTCTTCTGTATCTTTATGAATACCATCCACCATATATAGAATAAAATCAGATCCCTTTTTCCCTGGCTCCATTTCCCATTTCATCTTTTGACATTTTCCCCCTCTTCCATCTAAGGTAGCACAGCGGAAGGGGCATTGGGCCTGCAAGACCTGAGTTCAAATCTGGCCTCAGATACTTAGCTGTGTGACCTTGAGTATATAGCTTAACCTTGGTCTGCCTCAGTTTGCTCAACTGTAAAATGAGGATAACAATAGCACCAGCCTCCCACTGTTGTTGTGAAGATCAAATGAGATCAGATTTATCAGGTCCTTCGAACGGTGTCTGGCACATAGGAGGTGTTTAATAAATGCTTGGTTCTTTCCTTCAGTGGTTCCATACCTGATATGAAGCTTTCCATGAATCCTCTAGCTAAAAGTGAACCATTTTCCGTCTTCAATTTCTTAGGCTAGTCTCCTTGATTCTCTATGCACATACCAATTTTCTAAATTGCAGAAGTGGGGTAGGGACCAGACATTTTATTTCATTATTAAATTCCCTGTAGTAACATAGGTTGGCACTTCCTGTGCCATTTGTAGAATTCCTTAGAGCAGTGACTTGCCTAGGGTGATGCAGAGAGTATGTGACAGAGGCAGGCCTCATACACAGGTCTTCCTGAACCTGAGGCCAGCTCTTTTTGCACTACACAACACTACCTTTCTAAATTGCATCATCATTAGTGATATACATGTTGTTTCCTACAAGGCTGTGAGCAATTCCATGGCAAGTACTGCATTGTCTTTTTTCATTTTTGTATTTCCAGCTTTACTCCTAGAGTTTCCTTTGTACATTGTGAAATTGTTAACATGTTGCTTTGTGTTGGATTTCTTAGGTAGAGACGTCATTATTCTTCTTCTCCCCGCCCTGTTCCAATTAGAGGGGCTCCAAAGAACAGATTACCTTGAAGGCCAAGCTACAATATGCTAACTTGTCCCCTTAAGTAAGAGCAACCCTGCTTTCTGGGACTACTTAAAGCAATGAATCTTTCTCTAAAGGAAACAGTTTTCCAAAATACAACTATGAAATATGAAATAAGTAAGAGCTAGAATCAAATTAAAATCTATAGAAGAGATATTCTAGTTCAATGTCCTTGGAGTTAATGATCTATAGCACCATGTTAGGGACTAGGGATCAATTCATGTCTCAGTGGGGCAACAAAAACTCTGTAGAAAAAAAGCTATCTGTAGTCTTATTGATTTTTTGTTATTTACATATATATATATATATATATATATATATATATATATATATAAAATCTGTTGTTATATAATCTCACAGAGTTGTTGTGAAGATCAAAGGAGCTATTATTATTATTATTATTAATAATAACAAATAAGGTTGGATGACCACTTGTAGGGTAATGAGGAGGATTCCATTGGTGTGTGGGCTGGAATAGATGGTCATGGAGGACCCTTTATATTATTAAGTTCTATGATTCTGTGAATTGGATAAGAAGGAAAGGAATTAAAGATGAACAATGGTGCCCAAAAAGTCACTTTTATTAACTGAGTTGTTTACTTATCAAGAAAGAAAAATTAGTCTATGCTGACTCAAAAATAGATGAATTATATTTATAATTTATCATTTTTCCCTCTGATTTCATTGTAAATAAACCTGGAGCTAGAGAAAGCTGAGTCAAATTGTTTAGAATAAGGTGATATGATGGGGCCAAAGTTGTATATGTGATAATACTATGAATCAGCAGACTTTACAAAGAAGAATATTTTTCAAATATTTTTGTAATTCCAGGCTCTATGATTGATCTCAGATACTTTTTCCATCCCCCAGATGTTTATTGCTTTCATAGCTTCTTAAATAACTTTTATGGGTTGTTATTGCTTAGAAGAAATGCATTAACCTATAGATAAAATGATGATTATTCTCTGTGAACCCATCTGTGTTAGGGGGACTAATATTCAAAGCCTTTCCAGCATGGTAGAAATTACCAGAGTTGGTACTTTGAGGACAATGCCTTCAAAAAACCAGCTTCACCTCCACATCAGATAGGGCATCCTTTTCAGAGGAGGGTTTTGGTAGAGATTTCAAAAACAAAACAAAGCCTGATTCATGTCCAGAGTCAGAGACTAAATTTCTACCACTAGTGTTTAGTCCTAAAGATATATCCTAAACATTCAAGCTATAAGTACTTATTAGGCATCTATTCTGTGCCAGGTACTGTGATAATACAAGAGAAGAACAAAAGGAGACAGTGTGTGGACAGCTCAAGGTAGATTCACCACTAACGGAGAATCAGAATCAAATCAAATGCTTTCCTGATGGTCAATGCATTCTGTGACAACAATAAACTTCATATAGTTTTAACCTCCCCTTGCCTTTACAGAGATCCACATATAAATGACCTTGGACAGATAGTCTGTTTATCAGGGAAGATGGGGAAGACAAAGACATCACTGAAGAGGAAGGATGGCATTGATTTCATTCTCATCAGCTTTTGTGGGTGGGTCAGAGGGAGAAAGATAATTTGTATATATGTATATGTATATCTCACCAGGACAAAGAGAAGTGCAGGTGATTTTCTGCACTGACATTCCCTCACAAAAGGCACCCCCATTGAGTGGAGCGGGATTGGTGCAGGTCCGAGAACGTTTCTGCCATCCTCTACCACAGCGAACATTGCAGGCTGACCACTCTGTCCAGGAAGACCAGCCTCCATTCACTGAGAGAGAGAAAGAAGGGAGGACAGAAAGGAAGGAAAGAGGTATCAAATTAAATTGAACCAATGGGGAGCTGTTAAGTGCCTACTCTGGGCAAGGCACCCAATATGCTAGGTGGCATGAGACAGGCTGCTGGACATTCTGAAGCTTCAAACTTTTTTTTTGTTACTGCTTTTTCCCCTGACCTGCAGACCAAACCACTTAGCTTTTCTATATCTACTTTTCTCAGTTACAACATAAGGAAAGCAATACCAACCTTCTTCACAGGGATGTTACAGGGAAAGAAATAGCTGAAGGGCTTTGGAAGTCCTTTGTAATCCAAGGCATGGGTTTAAGGTAGCCAAGTCTTCATCTTTAGTTTTACCTTTGGCAATCAATTGGGGGGGGTACTTTCACTTAATAGCACTAGGGTGCCATTCTAAAAAAAGCTGACATTCGCAGATAATCTTGTTTATCTGTCTTCAGTGGGATTTTATATATAAGTAGGCTTACTGACTAATGTTGAGTCTGGGAGGTAGGGAAACAGAAAATGTAATCTGATTCCTCCTCACTTAATAAACACAACACTTAGAAATGAACAACTTATTATTTTTTTTAATTATGAAAAATAAAAAAAGTTTGCTAATGCCGTTGACTTCCCTCACAGAAGTCCAATCCTAAATTAAAAAGAGACAGAAAGATCAACTGAAGGAAACTTGAGTATAAAATTAAGGGTTGAACTACATCATTTTAAAGTCCTTTCTAATGTTAAATTGCTATGATTCCCTTATGTATATGGACCCATCTTTTCCCTCTTCTGCATGATCTCCCCCACCATGTCCATTCCTGAATGCTTCCTAACCTACTATGGGCTATTGTTTTCACCTTACCGTAAACAATAACAGTAGCTGACAGGCTTCTTCTCTTGGCCACAATGTTGGCAGCCATGCAGGTATAATTCCCAGAATCAGAGAGGCGAGCCTGCCTGATAATTAAATTGTGATCAGCCCTGGTGTCAATGTTCTCATCCAGTTGGGAATCGATAGGCTCTTCATTCTTTAGCCACTCCACCTAGTTGGGGGAAGGAAACAAAGCAACAGATAAAGAACTGCTGAAGCACTTATGATCTGGACCACAAAACTATTCAGCACTTTAGTACATATATGCTTTCACAGTCCTTTGATTCACAGGGACATTGAGCTAGATTACTTATATGTAAACTTTTTTTTCTCCCATTGGCTTTTTAATTTATCTAGGACAGGGATTCTTTCTTTACTTTTTTTTTTAATCATAGACCTATATGGAAATTGAGTGAAGCCTATTGATAAATGCACAAAATAAAATGATTACAAAGGATACCAATTACATTGAAATAAAGTTATCAAAATATCTTCTTTTTTTTTTTTAAGTTCATAGAACCCAGGTTAAGGACTCTTCTTCTAGGACAAAGATCAAATCTAACATTTAGTTCAGTAGATCAATGAGGAGCATGTGCTGAAGGACTAGGAACTGTGCAATGTTGCTGGAGACAAAAGGCAAAAGAGAAACAGTTCTTGCCCTAAAGCAAGGTACACTTTAACTAGGGAGAAAGCAGGTACATTTATTAATATATACACAGTATAGATACCGTATGAACACAAGGTAGTTTCAAGAGAGATGATTACAGCTGGGGAAGCTAGGAAGTCTTCCTATAGAGGGTAGTTTTGAACTGAATCTAAAGAAAATAGGATTCTCAGAGGTACAGATAAGAAGAGAAGTATGTCTGGGCATTGGTGGTAGAGCAAGCAAAGGCATAGAGATAGGAAATGGAGAATATCCAGGTTGGGAGATAGGTCAAAAGTGTCAACTGCTATAGAGCTGTCAATCAACTAATCAATCATTTGACAAGCATTGATTAAATGTCTATTGTTTGCCAGTTACTGTGATAAGCTCTAGTTATATAAAGATAAAATTTAAATAGTCATTGCCTTCAAGGAATTTACATTCAAACAACAGAAAGAACACATATATTGGTATGTTCCAGGTAGACATAAAATAGATATAAGGTGACCTGAGAGAGGAAAGAACAACTAATAAAATCAGGAAAGACTTCCTGCAAAATAAATAAATAAACAAAATTTGATTTGAGTTTTGAAGAAAAGCTGGGATTCTAAAAGCTGGAGGTGAAGAGGGAGAGCATTCCAAGAGATAGGAAGCATCTATCTGTGAACAAAGATAAAGAGACAGGAAATGGAAAAAATTACATTGTGGAGACTTTTAAGTAGCCCACTATGCCTGGATTGTAGAGTACATGGAAGGGAGTAATATGTAAGAAGCCTAGAAAGGTAGGAAAGGTCTTGGTCTTTACTAATTTGGAACGACAAACAGAGGAGTTTATATTTGACCCTAGAGGTAATGGGAAATCACTAAAATTTGCTGAAAGGGATGGGGGGATGGTGTGTGTATGACACAGTAAGACTTTATGACATCCATTTTGGTAGCTATGTGGAGGATTAAGTAAAGTGGGAGAGACCTAAGGCAGGGGTCAGAAAAGAGGCACTGACTGTCTAAATTGGGGTAATGACTATATGAGTGAAAGAAAGGTACATATAGAAGAGATGTCATGAATAAAAGATATAATCCATAAGATTTTACAACTGATTGGATAGGTTGGATGAGGGATAATGAGGAATCAAGGATGACAGTAAGACTATGAGATTAAGTAGCTAGAATGATGGTAGTACCTTGACAGTAATAAGAAAGTTAAGATGAAGTATGAGTTTGGAAGGAAGATAGTGAATTCTGTTTTAGACATATGGAGATTGATTTGCCTAAGGGACGTATAATTAAAAATGTCCAGTGGGCAGTTCATGAAGGGAGGCTATAACTCAGAAGAGGGAATAGGTTTGGCAATCACAGGCAAAGAGATGATAATTTAACCCATGAGAGCTGGTGAGACTACCAAGTGATAAAGGGTAGAAAGAAAAGAGAGACCAGGACAAAGCTTTGGGAGACATCCACAGTTAGTAGGTGTGATATGGATGAAAACCTTGAAACATAGATGAGAAGGAATGATCAGAGAACAACCTGGCAAGTGGCACAAAAACTCTGAGAGGAAAGAATATCCAGGAGGAATGATGACTGCCCTTAGTGTCAAATGGTGCAGAGAAATCAAGAAGGAGGAAGAATGAGAAGATATCAGTAGATAAGACAGTTAAGAGATCCCTGGTATTGTGGAGAGAGCAGTTTTAGTTGAGTGATGAGATCAAGAGTAAAATTGCAGAGACTTTAGGAAAGCCTTAGAGGACAGGAGGTAGGATCTAATGGACATTTTGGTAGGGTTTATTTTTGAGAATTGAGATTGAGGGAAACTTGGGTGTGGGCAGCAAGGATGGAAACAGCAGACAAAAAGAGATTGAAAATTTGAGAGAAAGGATGAATTATAATGGGAGTAATCTGTTGGAGATTAAGCAGTTTGTGTGAGCCAGTGTGCTAGATATTAGGTATACAAAGAAAACAATGAAACAATGGGATGGAATAATGTGTGCATGTAAAGGAGTTGGTTTTTGAAAGGAGGAATATTTCTTCATCAGAGAATTAAAAGGAGGAAATTGTATGTATGTGAGGAGGTCATATCAAGGGGATTTGACTTGAAGGAGGATTTGAGAGGTGAGATTCACTCTATTGAATTTTATTAATATTTGTGGCTATTACCTACCAACTGCCAGAATATTCTGCCTCCTTTCTCAATGCAATCATGTTAACTGGGTCCAATACAAATTTATGTCATCCCATTCATCTCAGATCCAAATGCACCGAGGCAATCCATTTCATTCCTTCCTAATTTATCTATTCAATTCAGTAAACATTCCGTAAAGACCTATTATGAGTAAGATATGGTGTTGTATGTTTCTAGGAATACAAAGATGAAATTAGACATAGATTCTGCCCTTAATAAGTGTATAAATTAGTTGAAGGGGTAAGAGAGACCTATACAAATGACCATAATCCAAAGGAAGAATAAGTTAAGTGCTATAAGAGAATTGCCAGATAATTTAATTTTTTCCCTCCATCTCCCTTCCCCCACCCAAAAGGATAGCTAGATTCATGAGGTCATAACTTTTTAAATGGACCATTAAGGTTGGGTAACAAACAGTGGTCACAAAGCTCAGGCACTTCACTTTCTAAGAGAGGCAGAGCTATCCTTCAGTCTGTATCGTGATACTTATGTATAAAATAAAGAAGAAAATTAGAAGTAGCACCCCTCCTTTTTTTTCCCTTGCAACAAATTACATCTAGCAAAAGAGGGAGGAAACACAAAAGACTGTTAAAATTTAACCAAAGGATTATAATGACCCTGCCCTTCACATGCTAGAGTTATATGTTATTACTGCAACACCTTCTTCTGATTGGTTGGTTCCTTCCAGAGTCTCCATTTAAAGGGAAGTTCTTGGGCTAGTCCATGTCTCTATTCTTCTCCAGGCTCACCCCTGACTCTCTGGAATTTCTCCACCAGGCACCTGTGAACATCATCTCCTCTGTCTCCTTTTCAGTTCCTCCACATGAGCTACTTGAGGACAGGGACCTTCTTCCTTTGGGCTTTTATTTGTATCTGCAGCACTTAGCACAGTGCCTGGGGCTTTAGTGTATCACTTAAATGCTCGTTGATTTGACATAAAGGCTTAATGACATAAGGCCATTTAGTATGTTAATCTGAATCTAGCTGTCTCTCAAAGGAGATAGAGTAGGTCAGTTGGTAGGGATGGGGGGTGGTGTTGGGCAATGTTCAATAGCTGAGACACATTGAGAAAATCAAGCTGGCAGAATTAGGCACTTCCCCCAACAACCCTGGTTATAAGATTGCAAGTATATACCTCATTTACTGAATATGATAAACTGAAAATTCCCTGCTCAAATTCAGGCCTTTTCTTGGGCATGTAGATAACAGCAGTTTTTACTGACCTTCATTTTGATCTTGGACTATTGATTTTTCCTCTATCTTGGATCCTTCCCACAACATAGTAACCTGTCTCTTTCCTTCCACCCTTTTCTTAATGACAAACGTATCTTTGATCTCATCAACTATCTTTCTCTCTGCCTGTGATTCTTCACAAACTCAGAATGCTTCGTTGCTGACCTTTTCTTGATAGACCCCATTTCTTGTTATATTAGGCCTTGACAGATCCCCACAGGAACAATGAAAGATTCCCAGTTGACCCATATTTCCTATTCTACTTCTCACCCCTCCCACCTTTGGGGGGGGCAGGGAGAATACCAAAAAACACTATCTGGTTGCAAAATACAAATGCTCATTAAAATGCTCATTATTTCTATGGCTTACTCTGCATCATCAACAACAGGTTTAAGCTATGTTCAGTACACAAACAATTTTGAAGGATGGAAGAACTGTATGCAATGCACTGACCAACCATGATTTAGAGGACTGATGTTTAAGTATGCTACCAATCTTTAGACAGAGAGGTGATAGACTCAGGTTGCAAAATGAAGAACACATATTATCGGACATGGTAAATGCAAGAATGCAGTTTGCTTGACTATATATATCCATTATAATGATTTTATTTTTGTCTTTTGTTTTTCTCTTTTGGAGCAGCAGTATGAAGTAAGAGGCAGGAAAAATGCTTGTTAATTTTTTAAAAGTAAAATAAAACTTATATAAAATAATGTTTATTGTATCTTAATAGTATACTTCAGTATGTATAAAATATATACTAGTATGCTATGTGTATATGTATATGTATACTCAATAGTATATTTCCTAAAAAAGATGGATCAATATTAAAAATAAGGTTTGGTACTAAAAATAAAAGGCCTTTAGCTGGCCAGCAAATGCACTTGTGTGTAATACCTTATTTCCTGATGATGTCAGATATTTGAGTATTAAGTTATATGTTTATATATTTTGTAATCTACCTCTATCAACTATTAGGAAATTAGGAGATTTCAGTGTGTGCTAATATTGTGTTCTAACCTAATGGCTTATTCCCTTCACCAAAATGACTCACTCAACTTCATTAGTACATCTGTTTGGAGTTTCTTGAACCTAGAAAAATGACAGATTGTGTTTGTGT